CCATCAGGAAGAGTGTGCGGAACAGAGGGAAAGTGAGGACCACTTTCAACAACAAATTGAATACAATTAAAGGCAAGAGTCGGAGGATTGTCTTCAAGAGATGTGTAAGACATTGACATTGATTACCCCTTGCCATGTGTTGTCAAATGTCATCATAAATGCATTGATTGTAATGAACGCACAGGTAGTCCGTGGGCCGTCATCTTTCGCCACTCCAGTCACGTCTAACCACATGTTCTTCAGGGGTCAGTACTACCAGATCGGGGACATTGTGTCGGTGGAGGACGTGAATGGCGGCACATATTTCGCGCAAATCCGAGGCTTCCTTCAGGACCAGTACTGCGAGAAGAGTGCAGTCATCACATGGCTGTTGCCATCGGAGGCCAGTCGTGAGGACGTGTTCGAGCCGTGCACCTACTTCTTGGGACCGGAGGAGGACATACCCCGCAAACTGGAGTGTATGAACTTTGTGTGTCACGCGCCGTCCGATTACTATAAGGACAGGTATTCTCCGTATCCAACACTGCTGTCCAGACCGGAGAGCGGTTTCATTTGGACCCGCATTGGGCCACAAATGACGAAAATCTCAAACAAAGACCAAATACTTAAGGAATCGGAACTTTCCGATTCAAATGACAACTAATTTAATTGAAATTTATTTAATGCATAAATATTTTAAATTTACAGACATTTCATTTTAATTTAATGTAATATAATGTACAGTAATGTTAAATATTTAACGTTCATTGCTATCGCATAAGCTTTAAAAATAAAATTATATAAAATCATCGGTATTAAATAGAAATGAAAAGTAAATGCATTCAAAAATTATTCATAAATGGGAGACATAACGATATGAATGGCAAGAAAATACTTAAATTATGTCAAAATCAAACAATTATGGCAAATGTTATACGGTATAGATATGATAAAATACATTTCCAGTAACAGTAAAATGAATCTTAAGAGTACTTATAACTGAATTTTGAGTTATAAGAAATGGAAATATAATTCATTTAACTTTCATAAAATACATAAGACTGCAAATTCTTAGGATTTGCATAAAATGTAATGAATTTCAAAATGAATTGACATTTTGTGTGAAAAATATTTTTATCACAGACTGAAGACAGAGTCACACAACGAACTAACGACTCATAATAATTCAGATCTTGTGGTAAGCATTTTGGCGCAAGAATTCCAGTTAAGACTAACTGTGGTCGGGTTCTGAAGCCAGGGTTCGCCGTCCACTTGAATGGGCAGCCGTTCCAGTAGTGTAACCCTTACCTCCTTTGCCTGACCAAAGCGTAGCGGTTCTGACAGTCCGATCATGAGCTGTCCGATGTGGAAGGTTGAGTACACGC